TTCAAACGTATACAACATCAGATCCACTGATGTGCTTCTGGTTCTTTAGATCAGATTCAATGAATATCAGAGTTGCAGCAATAGTGCTTTAGCGTGAGTGATCTGATCAGAGCATAACTGTTTTTCAGAGCCTCTGTACTTACAGCGTAAAGTACATTCAGAGTCTTCTGAAATAATGCTTTAAACTCTTCATACAAAGTCTTCAACTACGCTTCAAATGCTTCTGCAGCTTCTACTTCAGAGTCTTCTGCAGCTTCTGCTTCAGAGTCTCTTCTGGCAGCGCTCAGAGTCTTCTGATAGCTTGCTTCTGATGCTTTAGAGCTTTACGTAACTTGCTGTTCAGATGCATTTTGCTTCCATAATGATATTTATTTTAATATCTGAAACACAAAACACTTGAACAAAATTAGAGTATATATTTTCTTAATACAAAATTTCATTAGAGTTATCATCAAAACATAGAGATATAATTAAACACCAATCTGTGTTCTAACAATATATTCTCATAGAAAATCACATTCCTTGATACAAAAATGTTGTGAGTTTCAAGATCATACAAAATATATCCTTTGGTACCTTCCTTATATCCAAGAAAAATATATTTCTTAGCTCTTGGATTGAACTTGGTTCTATGTGCTTAAAGAGAGCTAGCATAGGAAAGGCAACCAAACACTTTTAGGTGAATTAAGGATGGACATTGCTTAAACAACAGTTCATATGGACTTTTAGAGTTAAAGAGGGGTGTAGGTAATCTATTGATAATATGAACAACATGTAAAATGCAAAAATTCCAAAGATTTAAAGGAAGGTTAGAGTGAAAAAAAATGGCTCTAGCTACATTGAGGATGTGTTGATGTTTCCTTTCAACCACCCCATTTTGTTGGGGAGTCTCAACACAAGTTCTTTGGTGAAGAATACCCTTGGATAATAAGTAGTCAGATAGAGCAAGAAATTTTGTACCATTATCTGATCTTAAACATTTAAGGATAGTTTAGAATTGGTTTTCTATGCAAGCTATGAAATTGATAAGGCTTGGTTTAGTTTGGTCTTTGGTTTTAAGGAAAATAACCCAAGTATGTCTTGAATAATCATCAACAAGGGTTAAAAAATACTTGTGTCTTAAAGTGGAGATTGTGGAGAAAGGACCCCATAGGTCAGCATGCAAAATATTAAAAGGAACATTAGAATGAGATACACTATTTGAAAAGGGAAGTTTTCTTTGTTTAGCAAAGTGACAAGAGTCACATGGTACATTATCTTTATTACAAGAAATGAAAGGAAAATACTTTGACACGGTGTGTAAACCAATATCAGATAGGTGGCCTAGCCTTAAGTGCCACAAATTACAAGATGTATGAGAAACAAAATTATGAACAAAAGAATTATTAGCATGAGAAAGTGAAGGTGTGGTGTCAAGAACATAAAGTCCCCTGTGTAAGCTAGCTATACCAATCATTGCCTTGGTATGATTCTACATAATATGGCATGTGTTAGCACGAAATTGAACAAAACATAGATTACTAGCAACAAGTTTAGCTACAGATATAAGGTTGACATTAAAGCTAGGAACATAAAGCACATTGTGAAGAGTGAGATAGGGTGATATAGCTATTGTGCCAGAAATGGAAGTCATGACTTGTGAACCATCAGGTAGGCTAACATGGATGTGGACTATGCTCTTATGTGTAATAAAGGAAGATAAATCCAAAGAGAAATGGTAAGTAGCTCCAGTATCAAGGATCCAAAGGTGAGGGTGCTTACCATTCACATTGGTTGAGTGAGAATGCATGACAAAAGGTGATGTTGAGACAGAATTGACAACAGGTTGAGGCTTGGATTGCTGAATCAATGTGAGGATGCTGTCATACTGCTCCATAGTAAAACCAAATGAAGATGGTGCTGAACCCTGAGAAGAGGATGTGGATGCATTACTAGCATTTGCAGCTGATGAAGATGGTGCAGACCCTTGAGCCTTGGATTTATTTCTATAACCTGGTGGGTATCCGTGCTTGCTGAAACAAGTTTCAATGGTATAGTTCGTCCGGCCACAGTGAGTACAAACTCTGTTAGAACCTCTTGCAGGAGCTGAACCTTGAATCTTAGCACGATAGGTGTTGGAACCTTGTCTACCAGAATGCTTCCCTTCCTGAGATTGAACATGTAATACAGAGGCTTCTTCAGTGGAACCGGTAGGGGCAACAACATTTGATGCAGAGCTATCGATTTCTCGTTCTTGTTGAATCACAAGCGAGAAGGCCTTGTCAATATCAGGCAACAGATTCATCTCATAATCTGAGATTTTAAATGAGCAAATTTCTCAAATAACCCTTTGAGAAAACAAATTACGTAATCTTGTTCCTTATACCGTTTAACAAACGCTATGACACCGCCGCAACAGGGAATTGAGCAAGAACAAAACAGAACCGGTCGATAGTTCTCCAATTCGTCCCACATAACCTTCAATTGTGTAAAATAGTTAGAGACGTCGAGAGTACCTTGACGGAATTTGTACAAGTCTCTTGAATGTCAGATATGCGGAAGATGTCGTCTTGAGAAAACCTAATTTGCAAATTCTTCCATACGCCAAATGCTGTATCAATCCACAGAACAGACTTCGCTATTGGTTCCGAAATCGATCGTTGAATCCACGCAAGAACCATGGTATTACAACAGATCCATGGTGCATACATTGGATCCGAAACATGTGACTTGGTCAGGGTTCCATCAATGAACTTCTCCTTGTTCTTGGAGATAAGCGAAATGTGCATCGATCGAGTCCAGGTATGGTAATTTTTATCAGTGAGCAAAGGCGTAACAAGAACAAGAGCTTGATTCTCGTTTGGATGGAGATAATACGGATTTGCAGAATTAGTTGCGAAATCGGCGTAGCTCTGGTGCGCCATTGAATAACAGAAAAAGATGAAAGCGATCAAGAAAAAGATGCACGATGAAAAACAGAACACAAAGGAGATGAACAAAGATCGCAGAAGAAAGAACAATGGCTACCAGAGCTTTTGAAGCTCTGATACCATGTCGATAATGGAGAGGAGTTTGAACATACATTATGATGATGCCATAGCAGAAAGAGGAAGAAGCAATAACAGAAAAAAGAGGAAATAATGAAAGGGCAAAAGTTTGTTATCATTCATCTAACTAACTCAATACAATTATGATATCAGTATATATACAAGTATTTGTGTGAACCAATAATGGTATGTCAGTTGTACACTAAACTTACCTAGTTACATTAGGATAAGAAACTAAAGGTATAATACTTATATGTCTTTTACCTTTTTAATGTAGGAATTTTGTAATGTTGATTGAAGAACAATGAAGAATGGAAATCCTCAAAGTATGAGTTTTTTGAGTCACTGATTTTTGAAGAATCAAAGTTTTTGTGTGTATAGTTTATATAAATCTTGTGATTATTTTGTGCAGTAAGAAGAATGAAATTTTTTTTAACACTGCAGGAACACTCTAATATGACTTGCTCACATCAGTTGTTAACACTATCAGTTGTGATAACAGTGCAGTAGCACTCTAATATGACTTGCTCACATCAGTTGTGATAACACTGCAGTAACAATGTTCTGTAACAATGATATTGTTTCTCTGTTGTGATAACATTGTTTACTTTAATTTCAAATTTGTATAATCCTAGTACTTTTTATAATTGGCTTTCTCAATATAACAAAAAATTTGCCACAACTTGAATTCAATTTCATAACATATCAATATAACCCAACTACATCATTTTATAACAAAATACAAGGAATGCTTTGTTCACATTCTATACAATTAATGTCCTATGCTAAAGACAAAACATAATTCTAAGCTAAATACAAGATTTCTTTGTTTCAATTCTTCTCTATAGTTTCAGTTTTTGTGCATGACTCAAATTGTTCTGCATAATTTATCAATTTGTCCATTCTTTTGCATTACTCTAATTCTTCGGCATAACTCTAATTTATCAATTTCACATCAAAATTTCATTCCATTCACATACCAATACAAAGAGAGGAAAATGATAGAAGGAGTGTTCATTTCATTCATGAAATTTTGGATGCCAACGTCGACGTTGATGTTGATTTTATTGTCGATGTCGACGCCGACAAAGGAGAAACGATTTTTCAAAGCCAAGACCGACTCGAGATTCTTCTCAATTTCATTGCCGCGAAATTATTAACCTTTCAGACCCATCATCGAAAAAAATTGAGCTGCTTGATGAACTCATGATGGGTCGTAACTTTTCTATCTTAGTTGTGAAACTTGATGAACACGGAGAGAAAGAAGATGTGAACCTGCATAGGAGAAATAGAAAGATGAATTTGTAAATCTTGTGTGAAAGTGAACAAAAAGACAATGGAAGATGAAGAAACAAGAATACCAATTGAGTTTTGAGAGCTTATGATTTTTTAAAATCTTTTTTAATATTATGTGCGTATGTGTGGTGTTAATTTAAAATGTAAAATAATAATAAAATATATCTGACTGGTTGATTATATCAAATGGTTAAAAATAAGTAGTGAATCAGTACTCATAATTTTTTTTAGAATAATACTAATCTGTATTTCAGACAAAAAAAACTCATTTATAATAAATTTATATTAAAAAATCAAATTTAAAAATTTACCTTTTATTTTAATTAAGTTTGTACATAATTTTCAAAGATTTTTAAGATATAAACTCCTTGGTCTCTTTATAGCCAGATATAAACTATCATTTTGTATGAATAGGCGTATTTCTACAGAGAAGAATACTCTAGTCTTATCCTTGCTTATTCTCTGGCCAGATATGCTGCAAAAATTGTCCAAAGGGCTGATTCCACCCAAGTCTTTACCATTTCAGTTAAGTCTAAACCACGAGCTGCTATTGGCCATCGCACCGTCGCCACAAAACCACCTAATCTGCCCACACGGCGTCGCCATTTTCGTATTCAATAGCCGGTAACAGAAATAATCTCAGATCCCTTTCTTTCAATTTTCAGTCCTTCAATCATCATGTTGAAGTTCAATACATGTCCCAACAGAACCCTAACCCATCTCAACTGCTTAACTTCCCCCCAACCATCACCATCCTCTCTGCATTTCGATTCAACCTCATTCCAAGTTTCCTACCTCATCAATAATTTAGATTTCTCCCCCCAATTCGCTTCCAAACTTTGCTCCACCTACCGTCTTGGTTTCAAAACCACCCAAAAACCTGACTCTGTTCTCAACTTCTTTAGAAATCATAATTTCTCTAATTTCCAGTTACGCGAAGTGATTGCCAAGTCACCATGGCTACTTTCCTGCAACCTCTCCAAAACGGTGTTGCCGAAGTTTGAATTTTTTCTCTCCAAAGGTGCTTCTAACTCTGACATTGTTAACCTTATCAGTAAAAACCCTAGAGTCTTGAGTCGAAGCTTGGAGAATCATATAGCCCCAACCTATGAATTGGTTTATAGATTCTTGCAATCTCACAAGGATACTATTGCTTGTGCACTTCATAATTCATCTTTCTTTGAAGACAGCAAAGTGCCAGAAAATATCAGATTGCTCATTGAGAATGGAGTAGCTGACTCAAACATTGCGAGAATTCTTCGAATCAGGAACTGGACACTGCAGACAGGTGACATGGTGAGTTTATTGAAGGAATTAAAGGATTTGGGGTTTAATCCTTCAAAAACAACTTTTAGTATAGCATTGATTGCCAAAAATTCAGTAACCAAAACCAGGTGGAAGGAGAAAGTTGATGCCTTTAAGAAATGGGGTTGGTCTGATGAAGATGTCATTGAAGCATTTAAAAAGCAACCTCATTGTATGTTAACATCCATTGAGAAGATTGATTTAGTGATGAATTTTTGGGTAAATCAATTGGGCTGGGATGCTCTAGTCCTGGCCAAACAACCGTCGCTTTTGTCCTTAAGTTTAGAAAAAAGGATCACTCCAAGGGCCGCAGTTGTGCAATTTCTTCTGAATAATGGTTTGAGAAATAAGAACGCAAGCTTAAGTTCTCCATTTGTAGTGCCTGAGGAGATATTTCTTGATAGATTTATAAAACGTTTTGAGAAGGAGTCGTCTTATCTATTAAAGTTGTATGAGGAGAAACTCTAGCTTGCATACACCAGGGACAAAAATTGCATGTCATAATTGGATTTTCAGGTAGTTGAGATTTGCTAGTATTGTTGTTCCATATTTGATTTGAAATTTGTTTGGTATAGTAATTGGAGCTAGTTTAGGGGTAGGGATTTGCTATCTTTTGGCAAGGAAAGTCACTATGATTTTTCTGTCTCTATCCTATATTAGCTTTACTTACTTTTAACAAATTTTACGATTGTTGTGAATGATATTGATTTAAAATCCTTTGTTTATAGAAATCATATAATTTGCCGGTGCTACGTTCCATGTTTGTATAGTCCAATAATCTATTGTACAAATTTAGCTAAACCAGAATATATTGTTGGATTTAAAATGGTTTTAAGTTGTATTTGTAATCATGGACAAACAGAGCCATAATTATATGGTAGCTTTGTAAATGTGTAGACCTCTCTGATACATCAATATTGAAGCTACACTTCTGGTTTTAGATTTGTAGAACACAACTATTTAAAATACTTACCGGTTAGCATTGTACTTTAGATTGGTGTCATTGTTATTTCTAAATACTCTTCTTTTGGCTATGCAACACATCTGAAAAAAGGTGTATTTGTGTCGTGTCGGTATTTGAAACCGACACCAACACTTGTGATTGACGTGCCAATATTAGTGTCGTGTTTCGGTGTCTGTGTTTCATAGTCAGTTGGTTTTCAAAACTGTGTTCCATTCCAAAGGAAGACTTATGAGTTTTGATTACTGATGTGCAACAAGTTTCAACTTTTTTTTTTTTTTTTTGTCTTTTTGAGCCAATAAGTTTCATGGAGTTATTTAATTTTTCCATTTAGGAGAATATCTTATCCACCTCCTAAATATACTTTTTATCTTTTCTTTTGAATACTATATTCTCCTTTAAAAAAAATGAAAAGAAGGGGAATCTTTGAAAGAATAATCCCCAAATTTCATTTCTGATTCAGATCAATTTTTTACTATCTTAATGTTGAATGATCAGAGGTGTGATGTATTCTTTTTATGAACCAAGGCTGCGGTTTTTTTAATTTAATTTTTGCTGAAAGAGTGTGGTCATGATTTACTTTCAATGAAGTTGAATTATAACTTGTTACTGGATGGTCGGTTCAAGTTTGAAGGACCCAATATTGATTTTAAATGTATAGAATTGATTTTTGATTTTGACATTGACATGGTTGCATTTGAATAAAATTGATTATACTTTTCATAATTGATTATACATGAAGTTAGGATTTGTAATTTTGTATTTAAAAGAGATTTTTATATAAAATTTATTTTTCAACTCAATTTTGTATAAATTTATTCAAACATATATTACTCGACCATTAACTCACTTTTAGTCAAAAATAAATTTTATATAATCAAATTTTTATAATCAAATCAATGAAATTCAATATAGAGCATGGTCTGGAGCTGCTCATGTACCTTCTAGATTAGTTGGATGTATATATATTGATACTTTATTGAACAACTAGGAATTTTGCTTGTGTACCTTCTCGAATAGTTGGATTTGTATATATTGCTTACTTTATTGAACAAATAGGAATTTTTACAATAACCTGCTAGTGCCGCCAAGTAGTATTCATGCACTTTAAGAAAATCTATTGGTCAAAACTTTAAAAAAAAATGTATAAAGGGTCACATAGATTTGAACTGAAAGTTTCTTTGCCTTCTGCAGGAACACTTTTGATGCTTCTTTTTTTCTCTGAGCTTACTCATAGAATGAAAAGAATGGACTTTATATATATGTTAATGCAACCTTAAAAAGTATATAGGCTATGCATTTCTCAATGCAGTCTTAGTATTACTCTCAATCCCTTAAATTTTCAAAAATACCTCTCTCTCTCTCTCTCTCTCTCTTACTATCTGGATTTCAAAATCCAGATGTATCCAATGCACAAACAAGGTTTAGGGTTTTGGATGTGTTTTAGATTAACTTGAGTTCTATTGTAATATATGATGTGTTTGGATTTTAAAATCTAGACAAAACTATTTGTGCATTGGGTGTGTTTTGGATGAACTTGAGCTCTTTTTGTCATGGTGCCTCCAGATTTCCAATTTCAAACGCATCCAATGTACAAACAGGGTTTTTGGTACGTTTCAAATGAACTTGAGCTTTATTATAATATGTGGCGTGGTCTGACTTCCAAAATCTGGACAAATTATTTGTGCATTGGGTGCATTTCAGATGAACTTGAGTTTTCTTATAATATGTGGTGCGTCTGTTTTCAAAATCTAGACAGAGTCTAGAGTTTGAAACTCGAAGAATGTTATTTGTGCATTGGATGTCTTTCGGGTGAATTTAAGCTCTCTTGTAATATGTGGTGCGTTTGAATTTCAAAATCCGGACAGTGCAAGAGGGAAATATTTTTAAATTCCGTAGGGTTTGAGAGTAATAATATTATACCCCTCTAGGAAAATGAGATAGGCCTAGTTGGTCCTTTCTTGTTCAATATCACTAGACCAGCAAATATTGACGAGAATTTCTTTTTTCACCCTATGCATTTCTTATGCACCATGTGGATTTCCTATTATGTCCTCCGTTTTCGGAGATATATCTCCGAATGCACCCTTTTTACACTCAAGAAAGGCCATTTTGGATGGTGCTCCGTATATTGGGATTGATTAGTTATGAGATGCATCTCCCGAACAATTTCGTAGTTATTTTTATGGAAAAACACTAGATACAGATTCAACACAAAATGAATTTTCCAAACATAAAATGAACAATCATAACATAAAATGAGCATTGCAATGATGATTTCAACGGAAAATTCAATATTACATTTCAATATCCTAGTGGACACTTGCACATCTTCAAAATATCTTCGACCGATCTTCATAGCATCGCTTCTAACTCGAGCGGAACTTTCTCTTCAAAATCGAAATACGTATCCCACATAGCCCTAACATCCGCCCGGGTCTTGAGCTCAAATTTGCTGAGCACAATGTTCCCTTCGTTGTCAACCGAAGGTGAACGGTACTCAAGCTTGACAACCCTTCGTTTGTCTCCGTAAGGTAGGAGATAATAAATTTCGTCTAGGATATCTTCGATAGGGGTGGGGTCGGTGAGCTTAAATGTGCTTCTGGGTGTTTTGTCGCCGGAGTAGGAGACATTTGCAACATACCAACAAATGTTTCTTTGTGACATTTAAGATATTTTGGAGTTTGTGTGAAATGTAACAGAGAACACCTAAATTTATACAAGACCTAGTTCAATATGGACCACTCATTTGTGAAATCAAACTTCTCAAGATCAACTTGTGTTTTGATGAAGACAAACCTCTTGACAAGAAGGCAAAGATGTTCAGTCATTTTCAAAACATCATGTTAAAGCAAAGAATCAGAACAAAGACTTGATATGAAGAATAATCTCATTGGAAGGTATAATCAAAATCTTCATCAAGTATTTAAGTCCTAGTTGCTCAAATATTAAAAAATTGTTGCATTACTTTTTCACACTTTCACAAGCTTTTATTTGCAAGATTTTTCTAAGTTTTTGCCAAAGAAATCGATTGCACTCTTGGAGCAATCAATTGCATGCTCAAAATTTTCCTTCATTTTGGCTACTGTTTTTTGGTGCAATCGATTGGCACAAATGTGCAATCGATTGCATATGTGAAAAATCTTCTTATTTTTGCTTATGTTTTGTGTGCAATCGATTGGTGCTTTGGTGCAATCGATTGCTCAGTTCAAAATTCAAATTTCAAGTGTTTTTTCTGAGTGTGCAATCGATTGGTCTGTATGTGCAATCGATTGCTCACGGAATGTTTTTGAAAAGTTATTCTGAAAAATTGCACCTCTTCAACCATTCTTTTCTGAATTGTTCCATTGAATCATGGCAATTGTTCATTATATTTTCTGAAGTTTTGCATGATAAATCAAAGGGGTGCTAGTGACATATAAATACCTAAACTTTCAATTTTCAAAAACACCACTTTCAAAATCTTTGCTAATATTTTCATCTTTCCACATCTTTAGTCAAGTCATTTTTCATAAGTATTTTCTACATATTTTCATATCATTTGAAAGAAAATTCTTGAGCAACAAAGTCTTAAATAGTTGTGGAAATTATCATTGAAAGAGAAGATCAATCATAGGATTGATAACTTTGTATACACAAATTTCAAACTCATTGTAAATCAAAGATTGTATATATTCCCCTTGCTATTCAGGATTGTTGAAAGCAAGTGTGTGCATTAAAGAGGATTGTTCTTCTTGCACTTAGTGTTCAGATTTTAAAGGTGTTAAGAGCCTTTAATCTACCTATAGGTTAGATAGTAAGTTGTACACTCATTCTAACTATAGTGAAATCTCTTTCAGTGTGAAAAAGGATTGGATGTACCTTCGGAGTGTGGAGGGAATTAGGATAATTCTCTGTGTCATTTACTTTCTGCACTTTATTGCTTTCATAACCCCTTCATATTTCAAAGAAAGTAATAACCTCATTCAACAAAAACCAAAAAATTTCAAAGAACCTAATTCACCCCCCCCCCCTCTTAGGTGCAACTCAGACTATTAATTGGCATCAGAGCAGGTTTTAGGTAACCTGTTCCTAATCGATTCAGAATGGCTTCCACAAACAACAAAGGTGTGTTTAAAGACGGTGGTAGTAGCAACAAGCCTCCACTATTTTGTGGTGAATACTTTGACTTCTGGAAGATTCGCATGAAGGCTCACTTAGAAGCACAAGGAGATGGAATATGGGATGTTGTCCAAAATGGCCCCTTCTTTCCTTCAACGGTTGTTAATGGTGTTGGATCAACAAAGCCTAAAGGTTCATGGGATGACGATGATAAGAAAAATGTTCTCTATGACAAAAAGGTAATTAATCTTCTACAAAATGCACTAAGCATGGACGAATTCTTTCGCATCTCAACATGTACATCAACAAAGGAAATCTGGGATACTTTAGTTGAAACTCATGAAGGAACCACTGAAGTTAAAAGATCGAGATTGAATATGATAAGTCAGGAATACGAGTTATTCAT